CCTAGAGAATTATTACTTGTATTATTAAGGGATTCCTTTAAAATATGAAGCTTCTTAGCAGTTAAGTGTGTACAGAACATTTAACTCATAGCAGAGGGCTAGGGAAAAAATGGCTAACTTGTTACAAGTTACTGTAATGATCATGTAAGAATGTGAGTAGGAAAACAGAAATCAATAAATAAAAATTTCAGTTTATGGAGCTTTTTCCGGGAACTTTATCATATAAAGAGAAAAATTACTGCAATGTCTACACTGCAATCAATGGCTCCTTTGTGGGTTGAAGGATGGCCTTTCTAAGTCCCCAACTCTTGGTCCTAAAGTGACCTGAGCAATAGGGAGCTCCGAGAACAGCTTTCAGAATAACACCACAACAGATTTGAACTATCTGCTGTCACGGCTATGGTAGTTGCATAATGAACCATAATAGCTGCAAGTAATACACTTAAAACAAAAACCTTGGTTTTTTGGTCCAGCTAAATACCAACAAAGTATCCATTCCCCCATGATATAAATTATAGCTATGTGGATAATAAAATTCCTTATTTACATTTCACATAAAATTTACCAAACTTCTTATTCACTCATTACTTACCCATTATGGGTTTTTTAAATGTCACTTTTAAAGTTTGCTTTGGCTCAGGGTGAATTATTTGCCCAGACCTTATTCCTGGAGTCATGACACCCCTAGGCCTTCTTTACCTTCTGCAAAATCATAGCTCATTTTGTGGGTGGTAGTTGTTTGTGTGCATGTGTAGGCATACGTGGGAGCAGTCTTAAGATATTCTAAATAGTGGAATATTATAAGCAAGGTGTCCTGGAGTCATGACACCCCTAAGCCTTCTTTACCTTCTGCAAAATCATAGCTCATTTTGTGGGTGGTAGTTGTTTGTGTGCACGTGTAGGCATACGTGGGAGCAGTCTTAAGATATTCTAAATAGTGGAATATTATAAGCAAGGTAGCCCAAAGTAATTAAGCAGCAAAAACAAAACAAAAACAACAAAACAGAGAATGAGTAAAGAATAGCCAATAAAGGTAGCAGCAAAAATTGGGTTACCTCCGTGCAATTATACATATACTTGGATAATTTGTTGATTTAATAGGTGGAAGAAATCTGTGTACCAACAGTTCATTAACTATTTGGATATCAAGAGGCACAAGTACAAAAGTGCCTGAAAATGTAAAACTGAGGCAAAGCTGCTTCTGAGGATAAAACATAGGCTTGATGAACTATACTGTACCACTAAATGCAATGTTGGCTATAGATGAGCAGAGGAAAATATTTTTTGTGGGTACATTCTCAATAACAAACGTGATCTTCAAGATCAACATTAGTGTTTTATAAGAATTTGGGGGGAGGGTGGCTATAGACAAGGTAGCTATAGACATTTACCAATTTCAAGAGGGCAATGAAAAATCCCTGCCTCCAAATCTCTCCCCTACTCACCTGCCAGACCTTGGCTTGAAATGCCTTCCAATATAGTCCCTAAATGACCTCAAGAGCAAAGGTGGGGGGCATTAATTCAGAAATGAAATGCACGGTTCCTCAGAAAATTAGAAAAGTAGTTTCTAGATTCACAGAGATCTCAAGCTAGAAGAGATCATAGTCAATATTTAGTTTCTGCTTCATCATCATACATTTTATAGATGTGACAATGGGGTCCCTAGGCAGTAAGTGAGTGGCCTAAGATCACATAGCAAATTAATGGAGGAGTGAAGGATAAAAATGCTGGCTGTTTTGATTCTCTATCTAGAGGTTTTTTTTTCTTTTTTTATATAACACTATTGAACACCACCTGTACTCAGAAGGGATAAGAGAAGAAACTGGTATGCTTCACTGGGGGATAAGTTTCACTACTGGGGCACACAATGACAGGGTGGGCCACAGACTGAAAATCTATGGGGTGGGGCTTCTGGATTCGTGCTTGGACACAGAAGTTTGCTCTTTTGCCTGAGACTGGCTTAAATGCCAAGGAAAGTTTAATGCCATTGATAAACCATCATGTAGTAGATTGCTCTTCTAATGATAGAGCTGATCTGCAGGTAAACCACATTCCCAGTGAAATACTGTGGCTCTTCTACTTAACCACAAGAGTCATGCCTGACACGAGTTTAATGATAGGGTTTATTGTTTATTCACAAGACACAAGAACATTGGTCATTTTTATACAGTCATTTGTGTGTTTAGAGGTTGTTCTGGGTTTTATGAGGAGCTTGTTACCTTGTTATGGAGATGTATCCATCTCAACTTTGCATTAAACTAGCATGCATTCATGAAAACCATGCTAAGCAGAAAAAGAAGTAAATCTCTACCACCTAAAATTAACCTCAAGGGGCCTAACGTAGTTTTCAACACTTCCATTTCATTTCATTTGCCATGGAATCTGTGCCTTTGAATCTCTACCACCTAAAATTAACCTCAAGGAGCCTAACGTAGTTTTCAACACTTCCATTTCATTTCATTTGCCATGGAATCTGTGCCTTTGAAAATACTATTATTGATTCTTAATTTTCTCCCAGTGACTTTTGGGGTCTTAGTTGGCTTTCAAATATATTTAAAAATCAAGTGGGTTCAATTTCTTTTGATGGGATCCCAAACTACAGGGTTCCCCCCGCTAATAATTATAAGCTATCAGGTTTTCATTTGGTTATAAATTTTTTTTTTTAGGATATCTTTGTAATATCTTTGTCAAAGATGTTGTGTTACCTCCTAAGATTTAGTGCTGTTGGGATTTATTGGATTTCTGGGAAAAAGTGTAATTGAAAATTATAATACCAAAAATCATTAAATAGGCATCGAAACAAAGCAATCATATTGTTTCTCACTTAACTATAATAGAAAAATTCAAGTTAATTTGCTTGTTTTACCATAATGAATATGTGATTCTAACAGTCTAAAAGCTAAAATCCTTTGCAGATGGAGGACAATTTAAACAATCCTCACTTCACAAGAAAACCCTAAATATTAATCAATTTGTTTAACTGGCTGAGCAGTAATATACATAACATACTGACATTTCTTAACAAAGAGATTTTTCTAAACTAGCTGCTTCCAAGAATATTTTATTAGCCGTCATTAACTTTCAGAGATGTTGTTTTAGGTTGGAAACCTCAGTGACCCATCTCAAAGAGCATGGCTGGAATGAAGAGACCCCTGAAATTGCTAAATGAGAAGAACTGAAAAGGGTCTCATGAAGTCATGACCCTTTAAAGGAGCTGGTTTATAGAGTGTGAAGTAGACAATTCACTAGCTTCACCCAGGAAGCAACACTGCCAACCCCCGAAAAAGTGTCATTTTGAAGGACAGTTGGATACCACCATCACAGCAGATACACGGTTTGTTTAAATTCTGTAACAAGGAAAACTCCTTAATTTGGAATACAGCTCAGTGTCTTAACAGAAGATTATTAAAAGCAGTTAACAACCCTCTCTGCTGGCTTTCTGTTTTCTGTTTCTAGACCATTTTGAGGGTTCTAAGGACAAATTCGCTAAGGACTATGCTCAAAATGTGAGGTGCAAATTCTGAAGCAAAACTTGTGTAGTTGGGGCCCAGAGCTGGATTTCCCAGCCCGAAGGTGCAGACTTGGAGAGCTGATTGGCCAGCGGCCACCCTGGTTTAGGCAGAGAAGCTCGGCTCTGCCACTTTCAGAGGAGAATTTATTCCACAGAAGCTTATTTTATCTTACTTTAAAGGGCTAAATAAGAGACTGCAAGGAAGGGTGATGAGTTGGGTGCCAAGATTTTTAGGATTTTTTCATGTTATTATCAACAACCTATTTTCTTAATAATGTCATTTAACTTTCTCTGCTTCAGTTTATCTACATAATGGATATACTCAGTTTAATTTCCATGTTCCCAAAGAGGTAATGATGGGAAGATGTGCTGATAAACATTTTTAAAGCTCTCTGACTTCCTTTGAAAGAAGGCTTTTTTTTTTTTTAATTCCCTGAGAAAACATTTAGAGACTTAATAATACTAAGCCAAAAATCTCTAAGTTTTGATCCCCTTAAAAACAGTGTTTTAAGATAAAACATATTAATGTAGGTTGACTGCATGCATATAAATATATTACATATGTACATTTTCTTTGATTGCAAAGTGAAGAAAAAAATAATGAATTACCAAATTTCAGGTCTCAATATTAAGTGAGAGATAGATGCTGTAATTAAATAAATCATTTCTCTTACTTCGTAGAATATTTTGTCTCTTTCTACTCCGTTTTGAATGACATTCTTATACATCTGTTCCACAGGAATAGTAGCAAGACCTGTTTGAAGTTTAAATCCATGACACCCTTTACAGAACAGCAGCAACCTGATCACAATGATCAAGCAGAAATGTTTTTTTCCTGATAAATAGGGCCAACCCTAGTCTCTCTAAGGAGAATGAACACATACACACACGCGCGCACACACACACTGCCTATATTCACAGCCAAGGTTTTTCTTCTACCCCCAACTAATAAAACCAGGAGGCTGCAGTGAGGCCGAGCGGCGCGCAGTTTGATGTCCGCAGCGGGATACGGGGAGGCCGAAGTGGCGCTGTAAATCCAGTGCGGGGCTTCAACGCTGTGTGAAGTGTGGCCTGAGTCGCAGAGATTTCCCTTTGATGCAAGCTCAGTATATTAATGGGAAAAGCATTCACTTTTATTTGTCTATACTGTCTGCGACGGCAAAACTGCCTCATTTAGCCTGGGCCAACATGAAAATACACAGAGAAGCAATCTGTTGCAAATTAGCACAACTCCCCTTTCATTTACTAGCTAGTAATTGGAAGGGGTTAAGAAAGTGTAACTTATCAGATCACGTGAGCGTATCTGCTTGTGTGGACAGCCAGCTTTCCCTGAATTTCCCTATCAGCCCCGAGGCAAAAATCCTTCCTGGATGACCACTTGATCCTAAAGAAAACACTGACGCGTGTGAAATACACACACTTTGTTACGGTTGAGAGGGCAGTTTCCCAGCCTCCTGAAGGGGTATTAATGCTTTTATTAGAACCTTACCTTTCTTTAGATATGTTTTTACTCTCCCGTTTCCAAATCGCCTTGAAGTCACTGCAGAACTCGTACCATACCATAAACACGTAGCTGGGGGTGATCTCCTTCTCACCAGACTTTGGCTTCATCCCAAAATATCCTACTGTTGTTTCAAAGCTGCAACAGGAAGGGGGGAAAATGGGGTGAGGTAGAGGGTGAGAAACTGTCAACACCAAAGCCCATCAGGGTGAGGAGAGGGGACACTGAGGGACGTTTCTCACATGTCTATCCTCTAACACAGGAGCCTGGGCATGTAGTGAATACAGCTTATCCTAAGCCTCAGAAAACCTATTTTCCCAAACTGATTTGCCAAAAAACACAACTTTACTGGGGATATTCTTTGGTACATTTTGTCCATATAAAAACAGCATGCATAATTTCAGAGGGGTATGTAGGTAAAATTTCTTGAGCTTGTTTTCCATCTCAAATCCATGTCATTTACCTTTTTTATTTTATGTTTAATGATTACATGTAAGACTGATGATATATTGATTCTGTAGAATTAATATATCATCAGTAGTCAGTTAGATAGCTCATGGGGAACAATTAATCTTTGAATGTTTCAGGGAAAATCAGGAAAACAAGTTCTATTCTTATTCTGGCATACACTGGTTTGGTAATCTTGAGTCAATCACTCAGCATCTCTATAAGACACTCTATGATCTTTAAAAGGGCTACATTTGAAAGCTTGATATGATACAAGAATACAAACTATCAGTTCTTATTCTGGCATACACTGGTTTGGTAATCTTGAGTCAATCACTCAGCATCTCTATAAGAGACTCTATGATCTTTAAAAGGGCTACATTTGAAAGCTTGATATGATACAAGAATACAAACTATCAATTGTGGGCATAGCAAGGTTTGGATGAAAAACCATCTCTGATCTTGAAAAATGATCTCCAATCTGAACAGAAAAGAACACATGTTTTCCGAATGGATTCCCAGATATCACGAAGGCCACGAAAGCTCAGTGTACCCCAGACTACCTGGGCCTCCCAAGGAGCCCTTCTTGGAGGCACTGGCTTTGCAGCAATTTATAGCTCTGAACTCAATCTCCCCCTGCAACCCCACTCACCCCAAGCCTCACAAGCTCATTTGCCACGAGCAAGAACACTTAAATAAATGGCCCCCTTTTCGAGGGTGTTGGAAACTAATCAAAGCAGGAATGGCTGGCCAGGTTTATTACTCAATGCTCTATCATCTGTTCAGACAGAGTTTTTTTGTGGCCATCCTAAATACTGGGCTTCTAATGGAACTCTATTCAATGGTGATTGTAAAACCCTGAAGTCCCGTTACTATTATGGAGCATACTTTCATCTCGTTCTCAGTTATTGGGCAATATGTATCTCATAAGATTTTATCACATTTCACAGATGAACTGTTAATTGATTCCATGGCTACGATTAGGCGAGATCCAAGCTGGAGCTGCAGCTCTGAGTCCCATAAATTCTTTGTGCTTCTGTAAATAATAAATCTGTTTTTAATGCAAATTAAAACTACTGGTCAGGGAATTTGGGCTCCCAGTTATTAAAAGACTGGAAGTGCACAAGTGGAGAAGGGCAATAACTGCAGTAATCTCTTAAGGGACTCTTTTATAATTCCAAACATACAAATTTTGGAGCAAAACCAGTAATGAAAATAAGCAGCAATGTCCATTCTTGCCCCAAACATAACTCCTAATTCTGTAGCAGTCAAAACACTGATAAAATCAAATATATACTCTATGGCACACACCATTATTTCATTCAAAATGAAAATTATGTTAATTGTAGCATGGGAATATATAAGTAGAGAGTTATGTAACCTATAGGAACAGGCCATGAATTGCCTATAAAGCCACAGGACTTTAGAACTGGAAGGGACTTACAGGTCGACTTATCCAATATTTTCATTTTACAGATGAGAAAACAGAGGCCTGGAAAGACTGAATGACCTCACTCACTGGCAGAGTTAGGCTCAGAACTCAGGCCCTCTGATTCCCTGTGAAATGCTCTTTCTGCTCTGTCCTCCTTTGCTCATGCTCGTTAACATGAGCATTGAAGAAATAAAATAGTCATTTTCTTCGTGTTTCTGCTTTACACACAGTTGCCCTCTGTATCACACATAACATGCATTAACCCCAGCAAGGCACATCACTATTTATTCTCTTTTTTATGTTCACCTTCTGTACAGATATAACATGTTTATTTGCACATTAATAGAGAAGAGGAAGTCTTTCCCTTTTAGGATTCAGAGGAACTAACAATCTTCCTATTTTCCAGCAGGACATAGTAAAATTCCAGTCACTGTGCTTCAGGGATCACCCGGATATCTCCAGCATTATTTGGAGTCTAGGTTGTAAGACCAAGATAATGCAAATACTGGTGCAGTTTCAGAATGACAGCATTATTTGGTGGTTATCAGAGAGCTAGAGAAAAGCAGGTCATTGTCTTGGGGGCCTCACTTTCCCCAACTCTAAATGGAAGCTAATCATCATCCGCATTACCTCTCTCCCTGGGGACACGTGAGGCCCTACTTTGCTTACCCTCCCTCAAAGGGGGTGAAAACTAAAAAACAAAAAAAAAACAAACAAAAAAAAACCGAATTTCAGCATTTTTTTTCCTATGTGTTTTGGAAACTAAGTCTTTAGAAGACCAAAACAAACAGAAATCCCAGAAGACCGCCTGGCTTCAGCACTCTGCAAATTTTACAAATGTGAAGTTGCTCCGAGGATGTGCCTTTTTGATTTCATTTTTACCCCTTTGTTTGAGAAACAGTTAAGGTCTAGACTACTGTCCTCCCCAGACAAAACTCTCTTCATTTCGAATTCAGTATTGATTCACAGAAGACTAATCACTGAAAACCTTCTGAGTTTTGGGCAAGAAAATTGTTGCTATTTAACAACTGGGAAAATTTTCTCCGATAGACAGGAAGCAAAGGTTCAATTATGCTTTTTGAAATTTCTATTTGTTGGTGGATAACCCTGAAATAGCTTCTTTCAACTTCAAAAAGATTGATTTCTAATCACGTTTTGTTTCATACAACTTTTTAAAAATTTCATTCTAAACTACTCCCTGACTCCTTTCCTCTCTGCTATAATTCCTTGTCTGATGTGTATCATTTTAAGTCAGCCAAACATTTTTAAAGTACAGTGATTACATCAAAGAGCCCATAGCAAAGTGAGCTGTTTTACTTTTACGGTGCTGAGATGCCAAAGCAGAACACATGCACTTATTGTTTTATGCATGCCTTCAGAAACTGCTTAGGAAGAGCAAATATTCTTTAGCCTCAGAGTAAATTGTTTCTCTTGAGAATAAAACATAAGAATTTACTAAATCTCACACGAATATTGCAACACTGACCACAACCTCCTTAAAGAGTGTAACCAAACAACTGTGGTTTCTACATTAAAGATGGGATATAACATATTTCATGTACGACATGAAAGCTAGACTACCTTCACCACAAAGCCACGGAAAATGCTGACAACCAAAATTTATGACTCCCCTCAGCATAGCTAATGCACAGCAGTAGCTTCGGCCCCTCTAAAGTGAGCCCCCTTTTCCTTAAGCAAGAGTCTTGAAAAACTATGAGAGATTTGACATCACCCCGGAAGCTGAATTTCTGTTTGGCCTGATACTGACATGCCCTTAACTAATGGTTTCTTTTGTCCATGCTGAATATGTCTATAACACAGACACACTAGTTTCACGCATTGAGGAGGGAAGGTTAATATGGGGACTAGGTCAACAGAGGGGCACAAAAATCTAAAAACCTAACTATGTCATTGTCTTAGTTTTGAATGATTATCATGATTCAAGAACATGTCTGCACTTAGAAAAGTGCAAGATTTGCTATAACCTTGCTTTCGTCAGCATTTTAATTTTAATGGTAATTACAGTGGGAAGCAGGGCAGACAGCACTGTCCATGGGCTTTCACAATTCTCGGAAACCGAGGCTGGACAGGAGGAAAATGGTTCACTTCTAGAATATTTTCATTTGCATTAAAATTCAAAATGAGGAAACTCTTCTCCTCAAGCATTTGTAAAGCTCACTTTTCTTTACATGCTGTTTCCGACCCCTGTCTCTCATTTAATTCTCGAATACTTTTAGAATTGGCACCAAAATTTATCATCTGCCTTGAATATGAGAATGCCTCAATATATTCCCATTCACCCTTCTAAGCGGGAAGGAAAGCCAAGCTGACCAACCTGGTCAACTAACAGAAAAGAGAAACCCCTAAGAGATTAGAACAGATGATTACTGGGTTCCTGGGTGGGGTGGACAGTTGCACTCTGGTGTTTATTGAGAGAGGGAAGAGCAAGGAAGAGTGCTGCAGTGAGGCTGAGCAGAAGACCTCTGTGGTCTCTTCCAACTTCTGGGGGAATTTTCCATATATAGAGGCCAGTCCCTTCTCCCCACCTGTCCCTTGTTTACAATATCCTGTAGGATCTGAGGAAAGATATAGTAAGTCTTTTAGGTGTTTGCAATAACTGGTTTAATCTAGCTGCAGTGCTAAGATGGATCAAAAGGTTCCTAATTTCCATGAAGTGGTTCAGGAGCAGAATAATTAACGGAGAGGCAAACAGATCGGAATAGTGTCATGACACGTGTGAGACAGCTGAATCACTTCCGGATGATTCTCTCCTTCCCAAGAGAACATACAGGATGTTCTCTCCTTCCCAAGAAAACGTGTTGCTACCGGGTTTTCTGTCCCATTCCTGATTGATCCTGTTGCTCATGGATGCAGAGTCTTAACAAACGGGGCCAACAGAATGGCTAGTCAAACATGATGCAAGTGAAAGAAGCCAGTCACAAAAGGACAGATGCTCTATGACTCCACTTATCCGTGGTACCTAGAGTAGTCAAAATCACAGAGACAGAAACAGACTTTCTGGTGGTTGCCAAAGGTGGGGGGAGGGGAAAGTGGGGAATTAGTGTTTAATGGGAACACAGTGTCACTTGGGGAAGATGAAAACATTCTGGAAATAGATGGTTGCACAGCAAGTGCATGTACTTCATAATAATAAAAAAGAAATGGCTAGTCAAAGAAAGAATTGGGGCCAAATCAGAGCTGCTTACCTTTTCTGTGCATTCTCCAAATGACCTTCTTCCATCTTATGCTCTTTTTTGGCTATGAAAGAGAAAAAAATCATGACTAAAACTCTTTTCTTCCATCATATTCTTTGCATAATTTACACACTCATTATCACAACATGTCTGAATTCAGCCCTGAGGACAGCACTCAATTTGTCACATCTACCACCACTGCCTTCTTGATGACAGCTATAGCTAATGGGAGCCACATAATTTGTTTTTTTCTGGTATACTTTTGAGAGTGAAAGGGAATGATATTAATAATTATACTGGACAAAGAAATAATGATCTTGCTGTAATCAGCACCACGTCCTCCCAAGTGAGTTAATCGGCCAGCCCCATCATTGATTTTGTTTTATTATTTATTTATTTATCTTTACAGTTTTTTATTTTTATTTTTTATTGAAACAATTGATAGTACGTATCTGTGGGGTACAATGTTGAATATCAATACCTGTGTGCAATATGTGATGCTCAAATCAGGATAATCAATATGTCCAGCCCCATCATTGATTTTGTTTTATTATTTATTTATTTATCTTTACAGTTTTTTATTTTTTTGAAAACATAATTGATAGTACGTATCTGTGGGGTACAATGTTGAATATCAATACCTGTGTGCAATATGTGATGCTCAAATCAGGATAATTAATATGCAACATTACACAACATCGTTGTTTTTAAAATGTAACTTTTATCAAGTTGCTCCCCTGCTTGAAACCTTCTACCAGCTTGGCTTGCTCTCACCTTGACATAACATCTAAAATCTTTACTATGTCCTAAAGGCCCTGCAAGTCTGCTTCCTGTCTCCCTGGTGACATCACCTTCTCCTTCCCACACTCATTCCTTTCCAGCCTCACTGGTGGCTTGCTGTGTGGCTTGAGTACACTGAGTGTGTGCATCTGGGCATCTCTGCACTTGCTGCTCCTCCATTCTGGACACCCTGCCCACAGTCTCTGCACTACTGCCTCCCCACTTCATTCAGGTCTCAGGGCAAACATCACCTTCTGTGACCCCACTAAATAAAAGACTATCGCTTGCCACTCCTCACCCCTCCCATCACTCTCCTACCTCACCTTTCCCCACAGCCTCTATCTCCCTGAGTGACTAGTCCTCATCTGTATTTATGACAATCAGTTGTAAGCTCCAGGGCAGCAGCAAAGTCATCTGATTCGTTTTCTGCTGGAGCCTTAAAGCTGGAAAAGTGCCTATACTGGATAAAGCTTGCTTAAAGAGAGGGATTTCAGTTTTTCCAAACATAAAACTTTACATTTAGAATATGAACATAAGCTAAACAAGATTGTGAGGCTAAAAGCTGTACACTATTATCTCTAAATGCAGTAAATTTCAACTAATAAAAATTACTGTTTATATTAAAATGATGTGGCTTTGATAAGTGCATCACTATAGGTCAAGTTAAGTCACAGTTATGACCATCTTTTGCTGTATGACCCCTGCCCCCACTCCCAGCTGGAGTATCTGGGAATCAGTCTGATACTTAGCCGATCAGATACTGAGAGGTGACCTGTATCTCTAATAGGCTACCAAGTTCCTCAAAATGTGAAGCAAACTAGCGATTTGTTCTTATCCAGTGATTTTAAATTATGTGCATGGCCAAACAGGAGGAAAAATTTCTTTGAGGACCAGGTGATCTTCCCGGAGCACCTCTGCTGTTCTCTGTCACCAGATGGTTTCTAACTAGCTACTTCTGTGCTGTGCTATGTAGACTGTGGCCAAGTCATCACTGCATATGAATTTCCTGACAAGAAATTGAATTCAAACTGAATTAAGCATCAGATAAGATTTTACAATAGCTCTATAAATATGGTGATTTGGAAAAACAGCATTCAAATGTAAAAAGTGGTATTATTAAGAAGCAATGCACACTGCAAAACCTCTGAGGGTTTACGAAAAAGAGGCTTCAGGAAAATAAGAACCCAGAGATCTCATTTTTTCTAAGCAAAGGGTCTATGTACAGATAGAAGAGGCAAAGTACAACATAAAAGCTCTACCAGCCTAAAATATTTCTCCTGCCACAACATGTGAAATTTTCAACCATGTTATTATACATTGTAGGTCTTCAAAATGCCCCATCCAAGAAAAACACAAATACATTACCTGGAAAAACAATGTTTAAAGACTGGAGTCATAGGCTGAAATTCTAATATCACCAACAAATATAACTGTGGGCCAAGTATAAGAATCCCAGTCTAAAATTCTATCTGTACTTTCTCAGTTTTGGAACTGACCATCTTAGTGTGGTTCAGTGAAAAGGGAATGGCAGGGATGTAGGAAGGCCATGCCCCCATTTTAAGAGCAGGCAGACACTGGCATTTACCAGATCTTCCACTTTTTATAGAGAAGCTAGAAAGGGATATTTAAATAAATGTTCTCAACTTTAAAAAAATGTTTGGGCCGGCCCAGTGGTGCACTGGTGAGTGTGCCGCTTGGGAGCGCGGCGGCGCTCCTGCCGAGGGTTCGGATCCCATGTGGAGACCGGTTCCCGCTCACTGGCTGAGCGCGGTGTGGGTGCAACACCGAGGGTTGCGATCCTGTTACCGGTCAGTAAAAAAGACAAAAAGGAAAAAAAAAATGTTTTCCAGCATTCTGTATGACAAAGAGAACATTCCTACTGGCCATACCTGGCTCTGCAATCTCTGATTTCAGCTTTAGTAGCTACTGACATAATGGCAAAGGTGGGCATAGCCTTTCATTCCAAGTGCCAGACCCTATTCTAGGAGCTTGAGATCCACCAGTGACAAAAGCAGGCAAAGGTCCCTGTAGAACTTTCGTTCTCCTTAGAGAAGACAGACAATTAAACCTGAGAGCATAAGACCAAGTGTAAGGAACTTTTAATAAAGGGTAGCAGAAAAATTCCAAGGCACAGATTAATGCCTATAGAAGGGGACTCTGTGTGTTGCTGAATTAGGTGTGCTTGGGCAGCCACAGCAGCTAGAACACCCCATATTGGTACTAGGCACAAAAAGGGAGAGTCAATGTTTAAATTGAAGGGCAAGACTTAGATGAAAATTGTCTTTAACCTACAACTTTGACTAGTAGTGACCCTGAATGTACATGTGGGATTTACCTAATCTTCCATTCTACAAAGCCACATGGAGAGTAGTATTCAGGTACTTCTTTCTTCAATTTAAGTTGTGGCACTTCTAGTGTGGGGTCGTGTAGGAGAGGAGGGTTCTTAGCAGAGTAGGTTTGGAGGGGCTGTCAGATAGTGACACGGCACCAGGGGAGACAGGGACACAACAGACATCCTCCATCTTGTTCTTACTCTCATTCACAAGAAGCTGTCACATTGTCCACAACAAGTTAAACATATTTTGCAAATCAGGGGAACAGATAAAGTAGCTGCTTAGAATGATGCTAGTCTCACAATTTTCAAGATAATAAAAGCCATAAGGGAAACAAGTCAGACTACTAAACACGAGAAGTTTTGCTTAACATCAGTTCTGTCTTCCAAACTTCTTTATCAAGTCTGTGTACACTGTGATGACTGTGAATTTCTGGAAGTGCCTGGAGAAAGCTGAAAGGTAAGTTTGCTCTGTGATCTACTTATAGCATACTATAATTTTTCTGTCATTGGTAAAACTGTGTTTTTCTTAAACTTTAATTTTCTCTATTGAAGAATAATATTTTTCTTTTTCTTTTTTTGTCTTTTTTCGTGTCCGGCAACGGATCGCAACCCTCAGTGTCGCGCCCGTACCGGACCGGGACCGGCGACGGGATCGCAACCCTCGGTGCTGCGCCTGCACCTCGCTCCGCCAGTGAGCAGGAACCGGTCTGTATGTGGGATCCGAACCCTCAGCGGGAGCGCCGCCACGCTTCCCAAGCGGCGCACTGTAGCAGTGTGCCACGGGGCCGGCCCATATTTATTTTTCATAATTCTCTGTCACAGAGAGAAAGCAACATGGCTTCTATAGAAGGTGTTTTTTGTTTAAGAGGTATTTATGTAGATTTTATTTCCTGGTTCATTTGATGGCCATTGTCTCATTAAGTTGTCACAAAAATGCCTGACAATAACTATTCTTACGTACTGTGGGCTACCAAGTGAAGCAGGAGTGGCCCTTTCTGTTCAGCGGTCGTGGGCCAAGGAAAGCAAATTAGAACTCAAGACAGTTAATGCCAAGTTGTTACCCCAGCTCTGTCACTTAGTGTCATGGACAAGTCACTTATGTCCTGTGTTTCAGTTTCTGCCCATGTAAAATGGAGATGCTAATACCTTCCTCCCACATAGCCGTGAAGCTCACAATGAAGAGGGCACGTGCAAGTGCGTGACTGAATCAGAATCTCTGCAGTCAGCTTTTTGATGTTTCAATGCCATGTCGGGGCTGCTGGGGGTTCAAGCTTCTAAGGGGTTGACTGTTGTGACAAAGTGAAGTGCAGTGTTGCACAGTGGAAAGAGCTCAGGCTTGAGTCAGGCAGACCTGGGCTGAATTTCTGCTCTGTCACTTACTAAGTGAGGTTGGAGAAGTCACTTAACCCCACTGACCCTTACCCATAAAATGTGAACATGTACCTTGCAAGGTGGTTGTGACTGTGAGACATGCTAAAAGTGTACGGTTAACCTGGTGACTAGCATATGATGGACTCTCAAGAATGCCCGCCATTTATTACTGAATGGCTAGAAGCAAATGCCAGTGGTCACTACTCCAGCTCTCTGACCTTGGGATGGTTATTATAAAATTTTAGGCAAAATGCTTTTTTTCCCTTTAGAATACCCATGACAGCTCTCAGTAGGCCAGAATTTTGTTTGTGATCATTTTCAAGGCAAATCAGGTGCCTGCTGCTCAAACATTTGTATTTTCCCATTTCACACCCAGAGCTGGCCTGTGAGGCTTTTCTACAGAAGGTATTCCCTATGTCTGACCTGAAGTCATGTTATTTGCTGTTTCAGCCCATTTTGTTTTATTTAATCCCCAGGAAAGAAAGAGTAACTGATTTATAATTTGCAAATGCCTGGGAGTCAAGGAGGTCGATGTGAGGGGAGAGGTATTTATGATTATTCTCACCTAACGCTTTTTC